CTTGCGAAGATCGGACAAATTCTGAATGGACAACGGGACATCAAAGACAGGGTTGTATTTCGATGATCATCTTCATGGGCAGCAGGGCTTGGAAACACCGTGCACGTCCCGTTGGTGATTTCTTACGTCAAGAGGTGTTAGCAAGTCTACCTTGTCCCGCCAGGTGAGTGAGTGAGTTTAGGTTTACGCCTCACTCAGCAATATTCCAGCCATGTGGCGGCGGTCTGTAAATAATCGAGTCTGGACCAGACAATCCAGTGATCACCATCATGAGCATCGATCTGCGCAATTGGGAACCGATGTCATGTGTCAACCAAGCTAGCGAGCCTGACCTCCCGACCCCGCTAGTCGCATCTCACGACAAGCATGGGTTACTGAAGATACATTCTAATCCGGACCCATTCACGGGTTTGGCCCGCCAGGACTCCAGATTAAATTCCCATGGATCATGTTTGTCACATTAGGGGACGAAAAATACGCTAGAGAGATCATCCATACATTTATTATGTATTTACTTACTGCGCCTCGATCTTCTTTTGAATGGCACCACACACCATTTACTGAAAGTACATTACTGAAATTGTGTCAGTTCTCCTTCGATGATTGTGAATGGAAAATCGTATTTTATTTCCATGCACAATCATACAACGTTTGTCATATAATGACATCAACCTACAATCGATTATCCCAAATTTTAAAATAGTATGTAGTGATGACAAGTCTTTGGATTGCTTATATACTCATGCCAATAATGGTTGTCACCACCCTCCCCACCCCAAACCCACACACACCCCACACACCCTCTCCAATAAAAAAATTTGAAGGGGGGTGACAACCATTATTGGCATGAGTATAGTTACTTCGATATTGATCTTCTCTCAATGATATTTGAACCACATTTTGCACTTTGTTTATGAATACAAGCCACACAAATAAACATGATGCAACTGATGACCACTGCCTTAAAATATTCCTGTTCCGGCGTCAAAACACAGTGGTTGATAGGGGTGGGTATTGCAGAGAATTTTCATATTGCGATAAATTGCGATGCGAAAGCATATATTGCGATATGTATTGCAATGTATTGCAAGAAGTATTTTTAAACCAAAAACTACTTATAATCAAGTTAAGGCTTGATTTACAAAGCATGAACACAACAAAATCACTATGCTTGATTAAGCTTTAATAAAAACTCTTAATCATGACAAAATAAAACTGTAAATAGTATTTGGCACAAATGGAACAAGGAAATATCCGAAGATTTCCGAGTGTTACGAAATTTTCCGAATGCAAGTCAAAATACCGGTTTCGGATCAGCGTATCGCAATGCGTATCGTTTTCATGGCTGAACCGGTAAATACCGGTAAACCGGTTATATTGCGCAGCCCTAGTGGTTGATAGCCTGGACAATGGCTCACGTGCAGTGATAGTGATTTAAGTCATAAATTGTCACCAAATATTTTACAATATAGTAGGGATAGTGTGAACCTCATAATAAGTGTGAAATGACAAAGGCTCAGATTTAAATCGAATTTAACTTAGCATGCTTCTGCATTTGCACAAGGAAACTGTTTGACAAATGGTTAATAATATAGCTTGCGTATTCTTCTAAATAATGTCACTAACAAGCACGAGGCAAGAACCTATCCGGTACAAATCGTAACAATCATTGCCATAGATTCTATTTGTTTTCCAAATTGAACAGATCTACTCACCCAACACAAATGATATTCACCAGCACTGAAACACCCAAGAGGCTTCCAAGGACCACAGTTAACTTAGGTTGAGCTGAATCACACTTACAGGTGTCGGGTGTGCTGAAATCTAATGGTCAATTGTGTCCGTATTCGGCGACTTTAAACAAAGTTCATTGAGAAAAGTTTTTTAATTTGTTTTTTAGCAATAAACTGAATGTAATTTACGTTTTGATTACCCGAATGAAACACGTCACCGAGTCTGATCACGAGATCATATACATTGAGCTGAAACAAGCTGCTGGAGAGATGATCAGATGACAGCCATAACTGGTAACATTGAAATGCGCCAAGGAGAGAACCATCATACGAGCACATCACTTTCAACAAACAGAAGCAAAGTTTTGAATACCCCGACACTGTGTCCTTATGAACCTGGATTGTATATACATTAAAGAAGTAAGTTTCACTTCCAGTCGACAATAACTTCCGGTTGAAACATTAAAATGTTAATTTCATTCTTAATGACTTCAAAGTAGTTGTAAAGTAATGCGTCTTCAAAGTCCCATGTCTCTGGCAGCATAAAATCAATCTGATGCGCCTGGCTCAACAACATCCTCAATGGTGCAAGTACAATACACATTTATACCCGTGAAGATCCGGGTTAGAATTGGTCATCAGTAACCCATGCTTGTCGTAAGAGGCGACAAGGGGATCGGATGGTCAGGCTCGCTGACTAGGTTGAGACATGTCATCGGCTCCCAAATGCGTAGATCGATGCTTATAGTGTTGATTACTGGATGGTCTGGCCCAAACTCGATTATTTACAAACTGCCTTCATATAGCTGGAATATTGTGGAATGCTTCGTTAAACAACAACCAAACCAAATAATGCACATTTGATTCAAATCAAAACAAAGCAGCCCATTTCCTATGTTTAACATTATCACTTCTTGTTTCGGACAGTAATTGGCCAATGCAAAATATATTCACAACTGAAAGTCCCATGCCTCCAGCTTCCCTGATAACAATGTTTAGTTACCCGACCTTCGATGTCAGCCAAGAACATGGCGTATTATATCTGTTTGACAACATGGTTGCTGACTGCTATACACGCCTCATACATGGGGTTTGTTCAGTTCATACAGACGCAGAACAACCAGGTAAAGAGTTACCATTCCATTGAACCCATCATTCAAACAGTTTCCCAATCTTTTCTGACACTGGACAATATAACAATATATACGTTTGGACCTACTATGTACGAAATGCATTTGTGATTGTATTGTGAGAGTTAATGGGACCTTCAATATCACTGACAACATTTTCAAAAACTTTCCAAATAGCCAATGCAAAGGAAAGCATATTTGTATATCGTCTAAAGTCTCAGTCACCTGACACTTCCATCACCAATTCTCGCGTACATATTTATTCAATAACTTTACACACAAAAAGCTACTGTATCCAACCTAAGCCTCGCCCTGGGATTGACCGAACTTTCAGTGACCTTCAAAACATCATCTCTCCATGGGATCATCTCCGATTCTCGTGTATGACCTTGACCTTGAAATAACAGTACAATGTGCCAAATAGATTTTCCTGAGGAAGGAACACGATTCTCCTGACATAGACTGTATGAATTTCACCTCGAGGACGACATTGGCATTTGACATCATTACTCAGTGTGACGACTATTATACCTAGAATGTCCATTCGCTGACATCATTACTCAGTATGACGACTATTATACCTAGGATGTCGATTCGCTGACATCATTACTCAGTGTGACTACTATTATACCTAGGATGTCCATTCGCTGACATCATTACTCTGTGTAACTACTATTATACCTAGAATGTCCATTCGCTGACATCATTACTCTGTGTAACTGCTATTATACCTAGAATGTCCATTCGCTGACATCATTACTATATGTGACGACTATTATACCTAGGGTGTCCATTCGCTGACATCATTACTATATGTGACGACTATTATACCTAGGGTGTCCATTCGCTGACATCATTACTCAGTGTGACGACTATTATACCTAGGGTGTCCATTCGCTGACATCATTACTCAGTGTGACGACTATTATACCTAGGATGTTCATTCGCTGACATCATTACTCTGTGTGACGACTATTATACCTAGGATGTCCTTTCGCTGACATCATTACTCAGTGTGACTACTATTATACCTAGGATGTCCATTCGCTGACATCATTACTCTGTGTGACGACTATTATACCTATGATGTCCATTCACTGATATCATTACTCAGTGTGACGACTATTATACCTATGATGTCCATTCGCTGATATCATTACTCAGTATGCCGACTATTATACCTATGATGTCCATTCGCTGATATCATTACTCAGTGTGACGACTATTATACCTATGATGTCCATGCGCTGACATCATTACTCAATGTAACTACTATTATACCGAGGATGTCCATTCACTGACACCATTACTCTGTGTGACGACTATTATACCTAGGATGTCCATTCGCTGACATCATTACTCAGTGTGACGAATATTATACCTAGGATGTCCATTCGCTGACATCATTACTCAGTGTGACTACTATTATACCTAGGATGTCCATTCGCTGACATCATTACCTCAGTGTAACTACTATTATACCTAGGATGTTCATTCGCTGACATCATTACTTAGTGTAACTAATATTATACCTAGGATGTCCATTTGCTGACACCATTACTCTGTGTGACGACTATTATACCTAGGATGTCCATTCGCTGACATCATTACTCAGTGTGACTACTTTTATACCTAGGATGTCCATTCGCTGACATCATTACCTCAGTGTAACTACTATTATACCTAGGATGTCCATTCGCTGACATCATTACTTAGTGTAACTACTATTATACCTAGGATGTCCATTCGTTGCATGGCTTTATAGAATTAACGAAAAGTAATACGTCAGAAACTTTGCCTCCACATGAACATTCTAGGGGATCTTCCATGAAACTTGATTTACATCTAAAACTGATGTAGTTGTTTATATACGTTTATCTGAGGTAAAAAATAGAACATTCCAACACTAGAGGATGTCATTTGATGCAGTCATTGGTGACGATGTTAACTGTACCTACGAGCTTAAGTATTGACCTTTTTGACATACTGAGTTACATGTGCACATGTGCACATATGATAAATATGACACTGGTAATGTTTCACCATATGGGTAACAAATACCTTTGCGAATGTTACATAGAGGCCCTTTGTAGTTTTCGATGCAGCCTTGGGTGCAGCGTCCGTTGAATTGATTACATATCTTGTTGAGGCAGTTTTCACTACAGTTGACGGAACAAGTTATTCCATACCATCCAGGAATACACCCCACTGAGCACTCTCCATCTGATTTCCTGCAGTGTTTTGCCGTATTATTGTTCACGAGGGCGCAATGGCAGGAACAGTTTCGTTCACAGCTGTCGCCAAACTTTCCCCACTGACACTGGACAGCATTGGCCACACCTACAATATAATGTCAAGATAGTTTCAATTGGGGGACAGTTTTATATCCGTAGTGTAAAAGAAGACATTTACCAGTTTAGTGTAACCAGCAGACCCCAAAGTATTGCGGGCAATAATTAGCATAGATTGCTGATTCAAACTCACGGGAACCGAAACTTGCATGATTACAGGGAACATTTCTTTTCACAGCAAATTCTGCCTCGTACAGCGAGGGGACGCTACGTGTACATAAATCACAGAACTTTTGAGATTTATTTTAGATACTGAAAGCGTGGTGTCGATTTCATTCAAATGTATAACTACAATGACAGCTACTAAAACAATTACTCACAAAGGATAACCGCAAGAAGTGGAACTTCTAAGTACATGGTATCATCATTTCTCAGTTTTTCATGTAGCCTCTCTTCTTTAGACTGCGGAGAAGAAAATAGACGCGCATCAAAACACACAGAAATCATGACATATAAGTAGTAACACGAAGTATTGGAACAAATATTGGTATTGTCGGTAAATATATTGTTCAAGAAACATTATGTCTTTTGAACCTAACGCCACAGCACGTCCGTAAATTGGCACTCGGTCCAGCCAGAAATTAGAAGTCAGTCATGATTTTGTAAACATTTTCAAGAAAGGTAGATTAGTGTGTCTGGACCATATGTCTGTCAATTGGTAATATTCGGCTTATCATGCAACTGAGATTAATCTAGAAATTGCCCCATCCCAAAAACATCCCAATTGATGACTTAATGGTATTTGGGGCTTTTGGTAGTAGATGAGTTGGGCAACAGACCGTTGCCAGTGATATCTGTATTTCCTGTTTGCTTGTATTATAGCCAAATGCATTTGAACCTTTCTCGCGTAAGGAAGGAAGTTGTACCAAAACCTGAACTGTAAACCCGAGCATGTGAATCACTTCATTACTGGACCATACGCCGATCTCCCGTTGCTTGTGGAGGGCGTACTTGGGAAACAGGGAGGGAAATATCTTACCCGTGAGTATATATTTGAACGACAAAGAACCAATATTACATGATATTGCATGCTGTAAATTAAATTTATAGGCTCAGTTTATATGCTCCATAGTCGCATATTCAAGTTATATTTACGTGTCACTGTCTCTTTTCAGGCAAAGATGGATCTGTTGCTTCTAATTGTCATTACTACCTTCCCAATCACCTTGAAAGGTAAGTATCTATCATAATGAACTACTCTCTAAGGTATTTAAAAATATATCGCGTATTAAACATGTTTTCGAATAGAAAATACGAATCATGTAACACATAGATATGTCTGCTTATAACTAAGTAATGGGCCCTGTTAAATATGTTGACCTGAAGCTTCTGATCAAAAGACATCACCAAGTTTGACCAAGCACCAGTGATCAGATGAATATCTAGTCCAATTACCTATTATTACTTTGGATGTCGACTACTTTCCGGTTAAATGGCGGAATTTCATGGCGTTAAAAATGATTCTACTAATTATGAGGGATTCTTTGCACGAAGAGACCCAAACACTATAATACCCCACGAATCCTTAATAAAGATACTGTCATGTTTGTTGCATGTGTTAAACTCCATGCATATCTTAAGATAGTGCTTGCAATAGATACGTGCATTACATGATATGAACATAAATAAGTAATATATAAGTAAATCTGCTCACATTACAGCTGCAACATGTAGAGTGAAGCAACACTGCTGAGACTGCCATGAGGTGATAGGACATTGTCTCACTGGTTGCGAGGATGGATATTTTGATCTCATGTGCAGTTCGCTCTGCAGCAGAGACTGCAAGAAGAGCCTTTGTAAACTGAACGAGCGAGGTCTTCAGGTATGCACGGAAGACTGCATACCAAGGTATCACGGTTGAAACTGTGATAGCCAGTGTGATAGCCCAGGGGTCGGATGTACAAAGTGTCCACACGTGTGTGATGGCGGATATTGTCAGACAGATTCAACTGTTTCTGGGTGCGTTGGTTCCTATTATGGTTCTGATTGCAAGAACTGTTCAAGTAGATGTAAATCCTGCAACAGGATTACAGGACATTGTGAGAAGTGTTATCCGCCTTATGCTGGACCGACCTGTGAACACACCTGCGACCATTGTTTGGAGTCCAGTGGATGTGACACTGGATGTCAGCATGGTTGTCTACCACGATTTTATGGCAAGTTTTGTGACGAGGAGTGCAGTGTTCATTGTTAACCTAATCCGATTACCGTTGCAAGCAACTGTTCAGCTCCAAAAAAGACCAACAATTGTCTAGGTGAGTGTAACAAAGTGACGGGTGCCTGTACTCACAGATGTGTCAATGGAAGATATGGATTCAACTGTTCCCTCCAATGCAATCCCAGATGCCTGTATGGTAAATGTAATGCTACTGGAGCCTGTGTTGAGGGTTGTTCACCTGGATCTTATGGAACAGACTGTGGACCATGTCCTGCCAACTGTGTCAATCAGCTGTGCAACTCCACGAATGGATCATGCATCAGTGGGTGTACAAATTGGTCATACGGAGAGTTCTGCGACCACTCGTGTCCAAGATGCCTGGATGGCATGTGCCATCAGTGGACCGGTGCGTGTACCAAAGGATGCGAGGCCAGTTTCGGTGGCGTCAGATGTGAACATGACTGTACCAATGACTGTTCCTTAGCGGACTGTATGAAAAAGAACGTATGTGAAACAGGTAAGCTGGTTTCAAACGATTGATATACAGTTGGGTTTTTTTTCAATGTCCTACATGTACAAAGTTTATTTAGTTGCAGTATAATCGGAAATGTGCTTCAACGTTAATGAGATTCAGTGTCATTCCAATGGATAGTGTACGTACTCAGATAGCACGAGGAATGTGAATTTCTGTGAACACTGCTAAAGTATGTGGATTCACTTATCACTGAAATGATTCTGTGAGTCCAGAGAAGTGAGCGCATATCAACACTTGTCAAAAAGAATATGAGAGGACACAGCATGAAGTATTTGCATTTGTGTTTGATTTTGATATGACTGTTCAACTCTGAATTTGACATTTCCTTTTTTGGTGTCTACGTTTATATTCTGCCCGAAGTTGGCCATTTTTGTCTCTCATCTGCAAGCCTAAGTACATATAGGACTGACCTTCCACACGATGGTCCATCATCCCCCACCCAAGTAAACTGATCCTCCTTTCTTTTTTGTTAAATCGTGTCTCAATTCTTATTTATGATAATAATAAGGGTTACGGGATGATTTCTCATTTATCACTGACAGAGGTAATATTCTACATTAAACATACAGATGCAAGTCAAAGGGGCACATTAATTCTGTATTACGTTCGTCTACAGGATCTACTAATGTGTTCCTGGGTGGAACCCTAGCTGCTGCGTTGATGTTTGCAGCTTGTATCTTGCTGGCAGCTCTGTTCTACTGCCGAAGCAGAATGAACATAAATAGGTCAGTTTCTGTATTTAGATTGTTTTATGTATGTAAAATTTTTACTTGTTTTGCTGCATATCCTTTTAACAACCTAAGCAAAAGGCAGTGGATGATTTCTACCGCACGTTTAGACTGTTTTGTTCCAAAATCAATTTAGAACATTGGAACCAATCTTACGATGCGACGTTTGATTGATGTGATACATGACGGATATAAAAGATGGGAGTTGAGATCACCTTAGCGCTGAGATTACATTGTGAAACTGGGCTGATCAGGGGAACATATAATATCACGTCTGATGAAGGGACCTCGTCCAGTGCGATTAGTAAGAAAACATCACCCATAGAAACTTACACTGACGCAAACTTAAGCTCATGTACTGTCATGGTATTACACACATTCATTGTTTTGGGTTTTTTCAACACAACAGAGCCTGGAATGCAACCTTGGTGGCTGATAGAGAAACTCCCTCTCCCCTTTACGAAACTCTACATATATACAGTGAAGTTCGCGACAACGGCACTTCGGCAGTTTATGTGCCACGACACAGTGACAAAAACGAAGATGCAAATATTGCCGTTCACGCCTTGGCTGACCACTTCAACGCAACAGAAAACACGGAGCTTGGGTATCAGTCAATCCCAGAAAGTCATTTTGCATATTCCGTGTCATATTCACACTTAATGAATGATGTCGCTGTTGATGACCCTTATCAGCATGGCAAATATCTAACTCCTGTTCACAGGCAAATGCGATTGACAGTTCCACAAAGACGTTTAACTATATGAATATTAAGACATGCAGCCGAATCGCATCATCAGAAACGCATATCATGTTTTAGTAAGCCATTAGCTTGTTTATTTGTATATCATTTTTCTGGCCATGTAGTATTGTATAAAAGGATGTAACGCCATTAGGTCAGGAGTTAAGTAACGGTCTTATCGATTAACATAGAATACAATTGAAACTGTTACAGATCTGACTTTTAGATAATGAATGACTAGACTGTGTTCTAGTCCGTTGAGCAATAATTTGCACATACCACGACGTATTAATTTTATGCTTGCAAACACAATTTATACCACACGGAGATTTAGATTATTAAAACATGCAAAATGGATCTAGAGAGGGCCCCTCTACGTATGGAGTTACACTGAAGTCAGCCATGTGAGACCTTCAACCGGTTTCATTGCATTCAACCCCTGTACATTTGTAAGTGGGCTTTAATTGCGCACTAAAATTGTATCTGCCTCAGATAGTGTGGATATGTATCTAACATGTTTTTTATGAATTATATATTTCCAGATATGTTTTACTTTGTTAAATCTTACTGCTTGACTGTGCGTTTCATACTAATATATTGTTTGCTATCGTCAACTTTTGAAACATAGTAATTTTTAAACTTTTCTTATCTCACGGTATGCACCATCTCCTTCTTCTACGACCATGTGTGGAAACGTGCTGTCAGCTAAGTTGAGTCGAATCTTTACTGACCTCTGCCCCGCCCTGACCTCTGCCCCCACTCCGATATCAGCACCTGTCAATCATCTACTGAAGCGTGCGGCTTGCTCAGATGATCACGTGACCACCTCTGCCTGTCATTATCTTTCTTGTCGCCACATTGTGTGGACGTGTGTTGTGGTTAAGAGAGTTTTCATTGTGTTTTTACGATTAGAATGGGGAAATCGAATCGTTATGGTTTTAAAAAACGCAAACATTGCGACAGATGCAATAGTAACTTCTCGGCGGCGGACCCTCATAAATCTTGCGTGGATTGCTTAGGACGATGTGAATGGTCCAGACGTTGCGCCTCATGTGTTAACCTTGACGACGATGCATTCTCCGAATATCGTCGGGTAGCTTACAGGCTCAAGTCAGATAGGGACCGTAGGAATCCATCGGAGGGTCCATCGGACTGAAAGCGTTCGAAATTGGACCGCCGTGTAAAATCTGCAGTTCGAAATCCAAGTCTCCAAAAGAAGATTTCCTGGACGAGGCATCGGACTCCTACCTCAGTGAGAATCTGCGTCAACTATTCCGTCCGCATTCGTCAAGCCCCATTACACTGGAAGATTCTTCACCACCACGTGTTGTTGTCTTATCTACGTCTGATACTCAACCCCGGCCGCCTCTGGTTGTGAATGTGCCTCAGCGTCCTAACGTTTCGGAGGCGGGGACTACTCATGCGGCGCTTAGTGTGATTTCTACTATTACATCACAAGATGATTACTGGCAGTGCAGCGCTTTCGACAAGAGCTGCACTTACTTCGGAAGTGACGCTCTCATCAGATCCACTTGTCACGGATCCCAGGTGGTTACTCAGAGCGCCGCTCTCTTCCACTGCGGCACTTTGGTTGGGTTCGGCGCTTACTACCGGTTCGGCGCTTTCTCTCGGTTCGGCGCTTGCTCCTGGTGTTCCCGGTTCGGCGTTTCCTCCAAGTGTTCCCGGTTCGACGCTTCCTCCGGGTTCAGCGCTCCCTCACGGTTTTGGCGCTCCCTCCTAGTTCGGCGCTTCATCATGCTGCTTTTAATCCAGCGCTCATTCACAGTCTGCCTGGTTCGACGCTAACTCACAATGTTATCAGCTCAACAGTTACTCCCCGGGATTCCTGGTGCGACGCTTACTCATGGTGTTTCCGGTTCAGTGCTTACTTATGGTTCACTAGCTACTGGAGTGACTCATGGTTCAACGCTTCCTCAGAGTTCTGCGTTTACTACCCAGATGTCGAGTTTGGCGCTGGCTCCACTCAGTTCAGCTTTGGAATTCATTGTGCGGGATCCTTTGTCTTCATCTCATGGGGGCGTGTCTCAATCGTCTGCATGTTCATCCTCTCTACGTGAGGTACCTCAACATTCCTCTGGGTCTACTACGACTTCATCAGTCCCTTCTGCAGCAGTGTCTACAACGAGATCTGTTTTGCCGGTTTCCTGGAATCCGGTGTCTGATGGGGCGATGTCTCAGCCTATGGACTTTGATGCCTTTGAGTTGGCGGTAGCATCAGCCATACGGCATCAGGAGCCAGTATCATCCCCTGTTACTCAGTCATCAGGGCCTACGACTACTCCACCTGTACCTTTACAAGAGATTCTACGTTCAACGACGCTGTCTATTTCTTCAGGTAGTACGTCCACCTCGGAGGTTAGCGTGAATGCTGTTGACTCACCTCAGCTGCTTATCTGGATCGCTGATAACCTCAGGTTACAGCGTAGTACTTAGACGGAGGACTTATTATCCAGTTTTGATATGAAGCCAGGAGACTTTGGTTCCTTCACGTTCCCTCCCTGACCGTGTGTCACACAATTATATAGCAGCGTCCCTGGACGAGGCTTTTGGTAACTTGAGGAAGATTAAAGACGATTTTGCTGCTCCTCGCTTCAATTTAGCATCAGCTCATCTACATGGACTGTCATCGATGATGGTCTCTCCTCCAGTCGATGATGATATCACGTTGCTGGGGACTAAAAAAAGAGCTTATTTGCCCTTCCTGGTCGAAGATCGTGAACTGCTGCATTTAGATGGTCCCATAAGGATGATTATGGCTCCACTAAACTTGGTGTTGACAACTACTGAAGCGGTGGCTATGTCTGTCACACACGCTACGTCTCATCAGCAAGCATACATTCAATGGTTCTATTGCAAGAACAATTTCAAACCATCCTGGATCAGTTGGCTCATTTTTTCTCGTATGTCACGGCTATGCGTCGCAGATGACCTTTACAGTCATCCTCTTGGGAAGACAGATTCCGGACGGATCTGTTTCGTCAACCATGGTCTGGCAAGTCACTATCTAGTGGGGCCATTAGGGAAGTAGCCAATAGAGTGGGTTAAAATGCTCATTTACAAGTCTCCGTTGAATTGTTGAGCTTCCAGCGACTACAGGTGGAGCAATCAATGCGACAGCGATGGCCAGCTCACTAAGTACCTTCACTCGGGTTCTACCGCTTCCTTTCGTAGGACGGGTGCCTACGGCAGAGGGCGATCAGGTCGTCAATGAAGGACTTCCACTGCTCCACAATCAACTTCCACTGCCGACCAGTCCACCTCGCAGAGACTTGAGAAGCAATGACTCAATGACATTAGAAGGCGACTTGGAGCTTCCACCTCCAGTCGTGCCCATTCGGAAGTCCCCAGTAGGAGGCCGGCTTGGGACTTATGCTCCCAACTGGACAATCGTGGGAGACCCCTACGTCCTGTCCATGTTAGCCAGGGATTCCAGTTACCAGTCATCGGGAATCCTCCGCTCACTTTGTTCCCGGCTCGCAACTTATCCCGAGCAACAGCTGGCTGTTCTTCAGTCCACGATAGACAATTTACTCAAGAAACTTGCGATAGAATCCCTGGGTCCGGCACCGACCGACCCGGGGTTCTATTCTCCCAATCTTTCTGGTGCCCAAGAAGGATTCGGACAAACTGAGGTTAATCTTCAACATGAATGCATTCAACGAGAAGTTTCTGCAGCCTCCGCCCCATTTTCGCATGGTATCTGTGGCACTCCTCAAGACTATTTTCAAGCCAGGAGACTTCATGGTCAGTTTGGATCTGCAGGATGCCTACATCCACATCCCGATCTTCCCGGCTCATCGCAAGTTCATTCGGTTCATCTTCAAGGGCATCCTATTTCAGTGGCGTGTTCTCCCGTTTGGAATTTCTTCTGCCCCGTGGCTGTTTACACAGATAACGAAGTCTGTCACCAGTTTCCTCCATCGCAAGAGGATAGTCTTCGAAGCTTATATCGACGACTGCATTCAGCCACAGAACGATCATGCCCTTCTGCTTCGTCACATGCAGTTTGCAATACAGTTTCTTCCCCAATTAGGCTGGTTAATCAATCTGCAGAAATCAGAACTAGTCCCGATGCGCCGACTTCAATTCATCGGAGCAGTGTTCGACACAGAGGTCAACAAACTGTTTGTCCCGAGTGATCGCTTCTGCAAGATACAGCGGTTGGTTTCCCCAGCACTAGCGCAACCCAGGACGCTTCGTCAGTGGCAGGAGCTCCTGGGCCTCTTGACATCGGCTCAGGCATTGACCCTCCATCCCGTACAGCTGTTTCTGGCACTTTATATCAGAGTGGGAGATCCTGTTCCTCTGATCCCTCTACCTCTGGAGCTCCATCCTCATCTTCAATGGTGGATGGAAGAATTGAATGTTTGTGACGGAGTCTGTTTAGAGCCATTTGTTCCATCTCACCACCTGTATGTGGACGCGTCTCAACACAAGTGGGGAGCTCATCTTCTCAACAAACAAGTGGCAGAGCTGTGGTCTATCGTAGATCGCACGTGTCACATCAACATTCTGGAGTTCAGGGCAGTGATTCTGGCAATCAGTCACTGGCAGAATGCCCTACGAGCATCGTCCCTCATGATCAGATCGGACAACGCAGCAGTGGTTTGGCATATCAACAGAATTCTGGTGGATTCTCTCAACATCATGGTACGAGCCAGCCACATTCCGGGGTGAAGAATGTCATCGCAGATGCTCTGTCCCGACCGAGTGGTCCCTCTCAGACGGAATGGAAATTACATCCTCAGGTGTTTCAGACCTTCTGCCTTCAGATGACGTCTCCGACAGTAGATCTCTTCGCCACGAGGTTCAACCATCAGCTGCCTCAGTTTGTGTCACCAATACCGGATCCTCTGGCCTGGGACCTCGATGCTCTAGCCATCCCATGGGAAGATCTGAACGCTTACGCGTTTCCGCCAGTGGCCCTTCTTCCTCTCATTCTAGTAAAACTGCGTGCAACCCAGAGGATGACTCTGCTCTTGGTTGTGCCCTACTGGCAAGCCAGAAGTTGGTTGATAAATCTTCAAGACCTAGCCGAACCAGATCCCGTGCCGCTTCCCGATCGACCTGATCTGTTGGTTCATCCACACTCTGATCAACAACATTGGTCCCTGTTGACGCTCCAATGGGTTATTCGAAGCGGGTTGCTACTAGCATTACAACAGCGCATTGTACTTCTACAAGGTCACTCTACGATGACAAGTGGAAAAGTTTTGAAGCATACTGCAGGAAGAAGGGCATCTCATCCCCCACTACGACATCCCCGCATGGTGGCAGAATATCTTCAGCATCTCCGAACCTCCAGGAATCTTAAAGGTTGCTCTTAACACAGTTATTGCAACGGCCACGTGTGTGAAGATTTCCACTGTCCCTGAACTTCAGTCTCTCCTAAGGTCTTTCAAATGGGCTGAACAATCCCAGAAGTTCCGGCCTCCAGCTTGGGATCTCTCCGTCGTACTTGCTCATCTCACATCAGCTGTTTAAAAATTCTGTAGGAGAAAGATTTCGAACATGTCTCCTTTAAGACCTTCTTTCTCTTGGCCTTGGCTACAGCTGCCCGTATCTCTGAGTTGCATGCGCTTGATGTTTCTCGGGTACGTTTTGAAAGGTCTAGACATGCGAAAGTTTTGCTTGATTTGCGGTGGGATTTTCTTGCCAAGAATCAGTTACCAGTACAGCCGGATTGCACGTTTACGATCCCACCGTTGTCTACTATCTTCAGCCCAGAAGACACTGAAGATCTTTCCTTATGCCCGGTGCGAGCGTTAAGGATTTATCTAGCTGCATCAAAGGATCGCCACAGACTGTGTAAGAGATTGTTTATTCCAATATCAACTGCCTCCACCTCGGAAGTCTCCCGTTCTACCTTGGCGTTTTGGATCAGAACTACGATCCTACGTGCCTATGCCTTTGCGGACCTGCCTCCTCCATCAACAGCGAAGCCTCATGAGACTCGAGCTCTTGCGTCTACTATGGCCCTTCACAGGAACTGTTCCCTGCAGTCCATCATGGAGGGCTGTTTTTGGAGATCCGACACGGTGTTCGCTTCGGACTACCTATGGGACCTCTCGGTGACATACGTGGAAGGCCTACATGAATTCGGTCCCTTGGTACTGGCACAGCAATTGTCTTTGGCCCGCGCTCACAGATAAAGCGATCCTTCTTCGATCGGCTTTGCTCTGTTCATAATAAAAGATATAGATGTTATCCATATCTTCGTACTTTTTTACTTGGGGCTTAGACCCTTCTCACCTAGAGAACTAGGGCGTGTTTGCACTGTCATACTTATGACTAGAAGACTATGAGGCAAGTCTTGTGCAACATGCAGAGATGGTCGACGTTCCGCTTACTGACCTCTACTCTTGAAGCAATTACGTCAGTGAAGTGTTGATTTCCGATTACCCGCATGGTTTTCGAAGCGTTCTGCTCCTAAGTCCTTTCTCACCTTTGGTACGTTAGGGAGATTGGTACTGAACGTTAAACTAGTTGAGCAACCGGGCTATTCCCTCTTTCACTGCCTTCCAATTTGTGTCTGTGGGGGGTACTTTCGAAGCAGGGACTGACCAGGTTAAGGTCCTCGACTGTAATGTGTGGACTCACCTGACAAATCGTTGGGCGGCGGGGCCTACTTGCCAATCTGCGGCCTTTTGCTTGTCAAAAGTTGCGGCTAAAAACCACATTAATTCGGGAGCACCCACTCCCTAGAGTTTTTGTGCTGTGTAAGCCAAGGGGTTAATGAAGCAACCCACCCCAAGTTGGGAGTTTGCATATCGGGAGTTGGTGCTTTCTACTGGCCTCCTTGGGTTAAGTATGCGTTTTCTCGGTGGTAGTAGTACGGGGTAATCTGCGACGCGCCTACCAACCGTGGGATTATGCATACCGTTAGATAGGTTTAAAAATTTGTAAATTTTACAATAAATTGTATATTTATATACTTATCCTATCTCACGAGATAGGACCCACCCGACCTGCCCAACATCACAGATTATTGGAAGCTCCAAGACGAGAATGACAGGCAGAGGTGGTCACGTGATCATCTGAGCGAGCCGCACGCTTCAGTAGATGATTGACAGGTGCTGATATCGGAGTGAAGGCAGAGGTCAGGGCGGGTCAGAGGCCAATAAAGATTTGACTCAACTTAGCTGACAGCACGTTTCCACACATGGTCGTAGAAGAAGGAGATGGTGCATACCGTGAGATAGGACAAGTATATAAATATACAATTTATTGTAAAATTTACAATATTCATTAATCCAGATTATTTCACAACTTTTACTCTTATTAAGTGTTCTGAATATAAATTGAATTATGCTACAAATATTTCGGCTTCAGTGAATGTCTTTGTTAACAGTTTCTTCTGTTTATTTTTTATTCGTTTGGTTATTTTCTTCGCTACCGAGTTGCGTTGATACGAGTTACACAGCTGTATGACGCGGCTTGTATGGACCACACTATCCAGTGATTGACGCCATGTGGGTTTAGCATGTGTTTATGAATCACCATCAAATAGTAATGGTACCAGGTGTTCACGAACACATAATATATTTTGTACTGTTGCATGTCAACCTGTACTGTACACAATGCCAAAATTATCTCCTCTAAATAAATGCCATTGCCACCAACATCACCTTTGTAGTTTTTTCACACTTACTTGGAAAACTCGTAAGCACTAGGGCTGCACGGTATTACCGGTAAACCGGTATATCGCGATACGCAATTGTAACAATTAAGTATCGCGATACGTTTACAACGTACCAGTATATCGCCAAAGATTTAACCCATTCAACACCGCACATAAGACTTCCGCCCATATACCCTCTTAACTTTAATGGCGAGGAAAATATATATATGCATATTCAGGTAATGTGGGTGGTGGTGGTGGGTGGGGATTGGGCTGAAGTCTTTCCAAATGATTGGCAACGGGTTCACTTAAATATTGTCAAAGAGTAAATAAGTCAAAGAATGAATAAAATCAACAGTTTTCATAGAAGTTGTCAAACGTACATCTAAGATACTATTTTCATCTTTTATTGCGATCATGTTACATGTAAGTCAAGTGACATCTCGACTTTTGTCACCTCGATCTTCATGCTCGGGCACGATGTTTAATGAGAAAACATTTTCATAATGAATATTTGTCACAGGTCGCCAACCTAGCACGATACGTCAAGTAAGTTCCATAATTTACGTATATGTGGCGATTTGTTGCTTAACACGTTCAGAATAGCATTATTGTACCCAAAGTTTCGTCTAAGAGTTTTCGTTTATGAGGACGATATTGCTGTAATGTTATTGGCTTACGATCATGATTTTCTTCCAATCACGAACCTTATGGCATACTGTGGCGAAAAAGCGTCATTAAAAACCAATCTTTATCCAACAAAATCGCTTCTTACACGTGCAAAAATACTCCTTGCAAGGTTACTGTGATATTATTGATGATTAGAGCTTTGGAACAATACCCGCCATCAAATGAATCTTCTAGAGTGTTATTCATATGGAGGTTCGAAAACGGAGGCATTTCCCAATGTTGTGCCATGTTATCGGGTAAAAGCCACGGTTATCGGGAAATAGGCCACCACACATATTATTTAATTAATCTTTATATAATAATTTTCTGATTACGAAAAAATGAAAACATAAAAGAAATAGGTAAGAGGATATTATGGCATCTTACACATTGATTAAAATAGTGGGAGTTTACGTCCCCTTCGTGGTTTATATGGACATTTTAAGTGTGTAAATTTGTATTACTATTAGAAATTAATTTGATATACATACATTTGGTATTTATCAACAGTTGGATTAGACTTTAAAAAAAAATGGCGTTTGACATAGCAATAATGTTTTACGAGCTGATATTTTCATTGATAAACGTAGGCTTCTGTCTTATTATAAGTTTATGTTTCTGATGTTTCGTGTATTTGTTCCATTATTCTATTCAGTCTAAAGAAAGTATACTTTACCTGATACAGAGTGACTTTTGCCCATCGTGAATGTTTTGTTAAATCATTTCTTTATGTGAATGTGTACCAAACGTCATTCATGAAATAAGTAATGTTCATAATACTTCTATTCAAAGACAAAGGAGCATAAATCATCGTTTTGATAAGAATGTGCACTTCAAGATCATGTCACATGATTGTGACTTCAATTACATTTTTCTTGAGTAATACAGATGTGTACAGTAAATTCTTTAACTCTTTAAATTATCTGAAATTCAACATCCTTTGCTGTTTAAAGAAGTTAAAGTATATAAATAGTATGGGTGGGTCAATGGAGGTTCAAAACGTTTAGAGATCGTGTATATTACTTCAGAATGAGGGGTTTACATAAAGCCGGGAAAACCATGCATGCGGGCTGGCAATGTAGGTACGTACATACGTGCGTATGTGGATGTATTTATATATAGGGGGTGCTACATGATGTTAGTCACTGTTCTATTTCAATACTGAATATATGTACTGACTGTTAATCAACACAAGCAGTAACACGACACCAATGACAAAGATCCTAAATATAACCTGTCTGACCATTTATACTGACTGATTTGTTTGGGCTATAGTTGTAACCTTTGCTCATTTCCACATTATGTATTATGTACATGGACGACTGCAGGTCCAGCGAACAACATCTGACTAAAGTGTACACGGGCGGTAGCAATGCACAATGGTGGTCATGTAGAAAGCTTTCCTGCTGACTAAGTTTCCTCGGGAAAAAAGACGCAGTAGCCTGTTAGGTCGCCTTCTGTATAGGCATGTAACAGCTAGAGCGGGACGGCTTCGACGTAAACGCCTGCTTCACGTTCTTTTGAAATCCTCCACGCTTCAGTGTGCATTGATTTGAATAATGCAAAGTGGGTTAGTGAGATTAGTTTTTTGCCGCATTTAGCAATATCCCAGCGATAGAACAGGGAGCACCTTCACATAATGTACCAACAGGAATGGAACCCATACCTTTCATGCGATGAGCAACCGCTTTAACCACTAGGTTACCAGCAACTACCACCCAAAATGACAAAATATAAACTATATGTCACGGTATATTACGCTACAGTGAGTGAGTTAATATTTAACGTCACATCGGCAATATTTCAGCCATATCGTGACGAGAACATTTGATATTGAAATGAAATATATGTATATTATAAAAATCTGCCGACGAATGACAGTAAAACAACTAGAATATCACAGATATGTATGTAAAATTAGTAATTAAATCTAAAATGTTTAAACTATAGGGGACAACACAATATAAAAATAGGCTATAGATCGCCAACAACTGAAGTTAGATCACCATACTAGGAACCATGGGGACTTACATTACTTTTGCTACCTGCATGGAGCCTAGCTGGATTTACACCATTACTTCAGCCACTGGCTATTGTAGGATAATTTAGCCGAAATAAAAAAGAACAAAACTACTACGTTTAAAAACTTGGTACGTGAAAATTTAAATTTGAAAGTTTTTGGGACTTACGTACCCTCTCAGGAGGACAATAATTTTAGGCTACTTCAACACCTTTTGGGAATACAGCCACTAACAATCTAAGTTGATAATCTGAACTACCAATTATAAGAAGTTGTCTATTTACAAAACATATATCAAACTTCATTTAACAAATCTATCTCTTTTAAAAATCAATGATTAAATGATAATTAATTTTATTAAAAAGATCCTTTACTGTTTTGATGTTGCAATATTTATCCCTTATGATGGAGAATTCAACACAGTCAAGCAGGACATGCTTGACTGTGGTTCTCTCATCACAAGGGATACAAAACGGAGGATCCTCACCTTTCAATAGGTATGCATGAGTATATCTTGTGTGGCCAACACGACATCGTCGTATGATGACCTCTTCAAATCTGGACTGACAACCCAAGTAAGTGTAACCGATATAGGGTTTTATTTCATGTAATTTAGTGATACCTACATGGGTGTCCCACTTCTTTTGCATCAGATCACGGATGTAGGTTCTAATGCTAGCTTTGTAATCAGAGCATGGAATAAGAAGTAGTGTCACAGATTTATTGAGTGCTGCCTTGGCAGGAAGATCAGCCATTGTGTTCCCAGAAATGCCAACGTGGCTGGGTAACCAACAAAAGACGATGTCGCATTGGCCAGTTTATATTACACTACAAATGGTCACGTTGTATAGTAAACAACGAAACATGTTGGAGAATAAAGTTTATATTTATATATCTATTTTGAACATATACACGCGCCGGCTAAATTATCCTACACTCGCCAGCGGATGAAGGGATGGTGTAAATCAAGCTAGGGTCTATGCAGGTAGCAAAAGTAATGTAAATCTCCATGGTTCCTAGTATGGTGATCTACCTTCAGTTGTTGGCGATCTATAGCCCGTGTTTAATACTGTATTGTCTTCTTTAATTAGAATGTTTTAGCTTTGCTCGCTAATTCTGTATTCATACCTGTGATTCTGTAGTATTTTTACTGTCCATCGTCGACATGTATTAATCTTCCAAATGTTTTCACTTTTTATTGTATAAATTGTGTTCGACACGATATGGCTGAGATATTGCTGCAGTGACGTTGAATTTGATTCTTTAAGAACAGATTGAATAGACTACTAACTCTTGACGTCCTGTTCATTGTGTCTGTTGTCTTTGCGTTACTTTATTTACCGATTTGTTCACTGACAACTAGGTGTGTTCGTACACTATAACTGCGTTTTGAATAACTGAAGTTTGTTTTGTATTTCTCTCTCTCTCTCTCTCTCTCTCTCTCTCTCTCTCTCTCTCTCTCTCTCTCTCTCTCTCTCTCTCTCTCTCTCTATCTCTCTCTCTCTCTCTCTCTATCACTCACTCACTCACTCACTCACACACTCACATATATATATAAAGATATATATATACTAGTATATTGTAACGTCATGATGACGACATATATACTACCGTTATGCGACGCATATGGCGATACTTAGTTTTCGTTGGACACCTGACACAGCGAAACATCTTGTGCAGAAAAAGGAGTTGTGACAAGAAGAAATATCTAGATTCATCTTTTACACGCACACGCGTACGCACGCACGCACGCACGCACGCACGCACGCACGCACGCACGCACGCAAGCACACATACATCAACGAAATATTGCTCGACATAACGTGAAGCTTAAGTTGTCAAGTTAAGTTCTTTGCCAAATATTCACTTGTTTTTACTTTTAATAACAGAACAGAAATTCCAAGTCTTTTACATAACGAAACATACCAGTAAAACATTCGTCGTATATTCCCACTACACGTGGCAACATTAAAGTAATCTAACCTGTAACCCAACAAACGTTACACCACGTTTATCTGGAAATAAGCGGTTGTTTGTAATTTGAATGCTTGAAATAGGACCATGAGCATCGATCTACGCAACTGAGATACGATGACTTGTGTCAACCAAGCCAACGAGCCTGACCACCCGATCCCGTTAGTCGCCTCTTACGACAAGCATGGGTTGCTGAAGATCAATTCCAACCCAGATCTTCAGGGGTTTATCAGGTACAGAAACACAACAGCTACGAACATATTAGCCTGCTTCATATGTATAGAGATCAGAATAGATATTCCGCATGTCTTGAACAGAAAACATGTGAATACTTATTAAAGAGGCAAAACATACGAAATACTTCTCAAAGAAGACTAAAAAGACACAACGGTAAAAAGTGAATCACGAAACATGTTTTTTATACTATTCTTGGGAAAATATAAATCATAATTGTAGGAGGCAAGTAAATAGAATCACGAACGTATAAGCAGTTGATTTCAAAAATCAAAGTGAGTGAGTTTAGATTTAACGTCACATCGGCATTAACTCAGCCATATCGTGACGAGAACAATGTAATTCATATCAATAAAAAATAAATTGAGAAAATAGAAACCTGTCATCGAAGGACAGTTAAACTACTAGAATATCACAGCTCTTAATTTAAAACTAGTAAGCTATCATAAAAATATATCACTATAGACAACAATACAATATAAAACCGGGCTATAGATCACCAGCAACTGAAGGCTGATCATCATACTATCGTAAATCAAAGATTAATTGTATTTAAATGAGAAATAATACATGGAGTAAAGAACTGTTGTTTGTTTGTTTGTTTGTTGTTTAAAACCGCACTCAGCAATATTCCAGCTTGCGGCAGACTGTAAATACTCCTGTCTGGATCAGGCATTCCAGTGATCAACAGCATGACCATGGTTTTACCCAACTGGGATGCAATTACATATGTCAACCAAGTCTGCTAGCCTGACCACCAAATCCCGCTAGGACAAGCATAGGTTGCTGAAGAGCAATTTTAACCAGGATCTTCACGGGAGTGAAAACAAAGATGATGAAAAAGCACACAAGAAAGTGTCTAACCTACCCTTCACAAGCGATGATATTGTCAACTACACAGAGGGTCCAGCAACGTCCCGTGTGCCTGGAATATATTGTGCATGTTAATTTCATATCGTCATGTTACGACGTACAATGCTGTATACCTACCGTGGTCCTTTAGAAAAGACAGTCAAGTGTGAACCTGTTCACCATGCATAGCGAGTACAGTGTTTCGAGCAAGAGGGAAACATGTCATGTCATTGCATTCAACCACAACCGACCACAATGACTAAATCTACACAGAATGCTAATGTCAGTTTTTACTTCAAGAAATCAAGTATACGCAGTATAGGAACCCTTGTGACATCCACGTACTGGGAGTTAGTTTAGTTTTACGCAACACTCAGCAATATTCCAGCTATATGGCGGCGGTCTGTAAATAATCAAGTCTGGACCAGACAATCCAGTGATCAACAGCATGAGCATCGGTCTGCGCAATTGGGAACCGATGACATGTGTCAACCAAGTCAGCGAAACTGACCACCCGATCCCGTTAGTCGCCTCTTACGACAAGATAGTCGCCTTTTTATGGCAAGCACATGGGTTGCTGAAGACCTATTCTACCCCGGATCTTCACGGGTCTCCACGTACTGTATCCGCATCGGAATGCATACATTAAAATGGAAAATAAGGACATAGTTTTGCAAATATTTCATCACATGTTATGCTATTTGAAATTGTGAACCCTAGTAACTATATTCCATGATCTTTAACCTGTGAAGGGTCACGAAGATTAGACGTAACCCGGGACTAGTATCTGTTATTTTGTTGTACAATTACAGTTGAGCTTTCAGGCGCAAAATACATATATTTGTATGTTTACCATCCACGTGTACGAACAATAGAAGAGGGTGACGAGGTAAGAAATTGACTGTTATCATCTATCTATCTATCTATCTATCTATCTATCTATCTATCTATCTATCTATATCTATCTATCTATCTATCTATCTATCTATCTATCTATCTATCTATCTATCTATCATCTATATATATATATGCTGCATAGGAAGTCTGTCGTCCACATGCACGAGGCTGTTGTGTTTGAGCGTTTGAATCAAACATTGTGTGTTTCGCTGTTTTTGACAATGTGTCATTTCACTCAAACTCAACGAACATTGAATCAGTTGCTTCACTGCATGTTCCAACATGTCGTTTAAAGTGCCCATTAAGCACACAATAAGTTGCATTTACCTTAGGGTATAAATGGCTTCACGTATAAACGTTTAAGTTTATGCATGACTATGAAATTTTAGGGTGTTCCCATACGTTTTGTTTGTAGTGTATATTCTGAATATTTGAATAAAATGACTCCAAGACTAACGCACTTGTGGGCAATGTTCACGGCCTTGAAGCAGACAGTAAAGTTATGGTTACAGCGAACCCCATGGGACAATTCATTTAGTGTGTAATATCTGGGTGCTACTCGGGATATCCCTGAAAGTGGTGTATATCTGCCTTGTCTTCCGCTGTCTGTCTGGAACTGCCCCTACATATTTATCCATTCTTGTTTCTCTGTACAGGCCTTTTCGTTCGCTCCGTTCGCAAGATAAAAAAAGTATGCTTGTTGTCCCTAAAACAAGAACAGTGCAGTATGGAAACAGATCCTTTGCCTATGTAGCACCAGTGGCCTGGAACAAACTTCCACAGAATCTCAGGGACTGTACTGACTTTGTCACATTCAAATCCCAGTTAAAAACACGTTTGTTCAGGACAGCCTTCTCAACTATTATTGTGTAATTTGTTACTTTCTATCTGTGCTTTGAGCATGGACTGCATGGATACCAGCGCATTACAAATGTTTTATGATGATGATGTATGCATGGGTATGAAGTGGTGTATGTGGTGTGATGCGTATGCAGTGTATCTGTGCGTGTGTGTGTGATTGAGTGTGTGTGTGTGTGTGTGTGTGTATGTGTGTATGTGTCCGTGTGGTGTGTGTGAGTGTAGTGTATGTGTGTGTGTATGCACATTGTGTGTGCGTATGCAGTGTATGTGTGCGTGTGGTGTGTGTTTGAGTGTGGTGTATGTGTGGTGTGCGTGTGTATGTGTCCGTGTGGTGTGTGTATGTGTGCATGTGGTGTATGCGTACATTTGGTCTATGTGAGTGTTGTGTGTGTATGCGTGCATGTGTGGTGTATGTGTATGCGTGCATGTGGTGTATGTGTATGCGTGGTGTGTGTACGTGTACATATGGAATGTGGTGTGCGCGTGAAATGTATTGTGTCTGTGATGTGTGTCTGCACGTGTACGTGGTGTGTGTATGAGTGTGTGGTATGTGTATGTGTTTAGTATGTGGGAGGTACGTTTACGGTGGTATGTGTTGTTTGTGTGTGCATGTGTGTGTGTTCTTGTGAAATGCCAGTGTGATGTGTGGGGTATGTGTATGAGTGCGTGAGGTGTTTGTGTGTATGATCTGTAGTGTATGTAGTATATGTATGTGTGATTGTGGTATGTGGTGTGTGTTTTATATGCAGTGGATGTTTGGTATGCTTTGTGCATGCGGTGGGTATGTGTTTGCGTGTGAGTGTGTGCTTGTGCACGTGGTATATGGTGTGTGCGTTTTGTGCGTCTGCATGTGTGTTGCATGCGGTGTATATGAGAGTGTGGCGCGCGTGTATGTGTGTATATGTGTGCGTGAGGTTATAAGTGATGCGTGTATTCTAGACATTCCTGGAGTAAGTGTACTATTAGCATTAAATGATCTTGTTTCTAATTTAACCCTGCCTGTGTACTGACCTTTTGACTTGTGCTATTTGTTGTTCTTTACATCCAAATGGCCTCATGTAATTATGTGCCACTTGATATCAATTACCCGTTATTGTTATTGCTTATAAACTGCCTGTCCCTATACATGTACACTTCTCATCATTTGGTTGTAGTTACTCCTAGCGTGGTATCAGTGTAAGAATCTGCATCCAAACGTCGCATCATGCAATAAACATAACAGGCTGTCAAGACAGAGGGCTATTCAATCACATGACATTACAGTCTAGCGCCGTTGTGTCGAACTCTGATAACTCGATATCTCGGTTGTCTCGATATAACATCTCGGTCCCGGCAAAATCCTTCATAATTTATCTTTATTCAAGCTCTTTTAACTCGATACGGATGTCTCGATATTTCGGATATCTCGATATAATTTCATGGTCCCAACAAGCAAAATTACTCTTTTAACTCGATATTTGCAAAGAAACTCGATATTCACCTACATTTCATGGGCAAGAATCCCTCTGAACTGAGGTTGTTTCCACACGTTTACACACGGTGCGGCATGAATCAAAGGGGTGAGGTAGTATAAACTAATTAGGACTAATTGAGTTGAAGGTGCCACTTGTTTGTTGTTTAATTAGGATTAATTAAGAAGGAAAGAGTAGGAAGTACTCACTGTTACAACTAAACACTACTAGTTTCAAATCAAAACATACTGAGAAGCGTTAAACGTTTTGTTTTCTTTCATACATATGCCCTGGTCGGATGTCTCGAAGTTCGGATAACTCGATATTTTTTCTTGGTCCCATGAATATTGAGACGATGGTGCTCGACTGTACTTATGATTCAGTCTGAAGGGAATGTTAATGTCATTTGATGCTTCAAGTGATCAAAAAGTATACAATATAAGGACCGTTGTGATATCCAGAATGTAGACCAGTTGGAGTTTGTATGACTAGTACCATGCGGGAACACACGGCGAGGTACTTTGTGTCATAGGTCGCTACTACTTGTTAAACCAAACATGTTTTGATGGTGGCTATAGTACTGCTTGAATGTGTTGGACAGACACTAAACCAAAACAAATAAACAAACCCCGCAGACTTTGGTAAATAATTTTCACGAGAGAAACATTACAGGTTCAAATACCTTGACGTTGGTTACAGTCTTAACTGTACAGTACAATACGAAAGAAAATCTGGGACAATGAATGTTTTCGACGGGAGAGCTCAGAAATAGACAAAAACATCTTGGTGCATTCATTCTTAGGTCACGTTGACCTATCTGTTATGTCTAATATCTGCCTTAACATAAAACTGAGCTTTTATAAAGGTCCGCGTTAAAATGTACACAATGTTTTCTGTTTCTAAATAGAAAGATCAAGTCTATTCAGGAAACTTAGTGAAGCCATACTAATTTCCATATGTACAGGGAAAGAAAAAGTAGTTTGCAAGCATGAGAGAGTTGGAGAGTGAAAGCAGGGGTGTGACAGAAAGTTAGAAAGTCTTAGGTGAAGGAAAGCAAAGAAACTGATTGTTTAAGAACAGATTTAAGATGCATGTTTGTCTAACTAATGACGTCCTTTTCATTGTGTGCGCTTTCTTTACCTTACTATATTTTACCACTTTCTTCAATGGTAAACAGGTATGTTTATACACTATCACTGTCTTTTGAATAACTGAATGTTTGTTAAAATAAATATGTTCTGAATATTTGAATAAAATTACTATAAGACTAATGGAACGAGATTACCCGCCTTTAATCTATAAGTCGTGTTTTATTTACTGCTTTCACCAGTTTTGAATCGAAGAAATCATTTATGCGGAAAGATAGATGAATGTTGAAGTCTCACACATTTTAACGTTCGGTTTGGGGCGTGATGCTTGACAGATGCTCACATGAAAACCTTCGAGACGTATAAGTTTTACTGTATTACTCTGTATACTTTACTATAATAGTAAAATTGCACTATCCTGTATAAGCGACATGCGCACAAAGTCAGCAGTCTACGGTCCATAGTGGATTTGAGTATTAACATAGAACACTATGGCGAACACAGGTGAGTTGACGTCAACACGTGATTAAAAATCATGCTGTGAGGCCCACCATTTTTTTCTTACAATCATTCATAACACATTATTTTCACCCATAATTAATGCGTTACATATGCTTCTGTGCTGCATTAACTGTTTATAGGTGTTTTGATAAAATGAAAGACGTTGACGATCCAATCAACTGCCAAAGTCAGTGAATTGGGTCTGGCTCGGGCATCGTGAAGACGTCGACGCTGCCATGGTCTGAAGAAACGACGAAGAGATGAGGGGAGGAGAGCCGGGTTATTTAGTGGTCGATGCCTATCTTGCCGAATGAAAGTGTAGCCTGGAATTTGGGAGGCAGATTTGGGGGATAATTTGTTTCTTGTAAAGCTATTATTTTGGGTTAATTGGCTCGAAGACCATTGCAATTCAACTGTATGATAACCATGGTTGCAGTAATTTGTAAAAGTAAATCATAAAAGGCCATGGTTTGGGCCATAGTTTGCAATAATAGGTTAGATGGCTAGGATAGCTTAGTGGTTAGGGGTGATTTACAGAAAACCGTTAATAGCAATAATGAGGCTGGCCAGACTTTTGTGATTTAATTTGTTTTTGTGTGCGAGAGAATGCAGGTTTTTGTTATGAGTTGTTTCATGAGTGCGACTGCTGCGATGGTTTGTAAAGGTTGTGGTTCAGTTTTCGTGGTGTGAGTATAAGAGTGCTGCTGGCGGAGAACGTGTTGGACTTTTATGTTTTAAGTTTGTTGGGTTTGTTAGTGGTTGTAAGTGCGATTTGTTTTGGGAGAGCGGTGTTGGTGGGTTGTGAGGGGTTGGTGGGTTTGGATGGGGGGTGCGGTTTGGGGGCGGGATTGCATGAGGGGTTAGTGGCTGTGGGGTTTGGGAGGTGAGGTTGCTTAGAGCCTAGGGTAGTTTTAGTGGGTGTAAGAAGGGGTTGATGTGTGCTGATAGAGGTGTGTGAAGGTGTAGTGGATGAGAAGTTTGAAAGGAAGGAGTGGTACGCTAGGTGAATGGGTGCAGATTTGGACAGGTCTTCATCAAATATAATAGCCTACTGGACAAACAGGGATTTCAATCCAGTATTAAGCACTTAAACTAGCCCTGGGGACAAAGAATGGTACTTCCTTAAACTCACTCCTTCTTCTCACAGGGATCTCTCCACTCACCCCAAGTTACACTCAACTACTGGGCTTTAGGGCCCAACACAACCCAATATTTAAACATATCACAACAAAATAAAACAACATTAAAACATCAACCCTTCAGAAATGCAAACACTATGCACGCTGCCTCACTCACCTCAACAGTCTGCTACAACATTTAAAAGACATCCCTTACTCACCTCCCATTACAAGTTTCATTTATCACAAACCTCACCCAGTCACTGACACCTCCCTCCTCAACACCCTACATGACCTCCAAAACAACACTGACACCTCACTCCTCGACACCCTTCATGACCTCCCAAACAACACTGACACCTCCCTCCTCAACACCCTTAATGACCTCCCAAACAACACTGACACCTTCCCCCTCAACACCCTACATGACCTCCCAAACAACACTGACACCTCCCTCCTCAACACCCTACATGACCTCCCAAACAACACTGACACCTCCCTCCTCAACACCCTACATGACCTCCAAAACAACACTGACACCTCCTCCTCAACACCCTACATAACCTCCCAAGCAACACTGACACCTTCCTCCTCAACACCCTACATGACCTCCCAAACAACACTGACACCTCCCTCCTCAACACCCTACATAACCCCAAACAACACTGACACCTCCCTCCTCAACACCCTACATGACCTACCAAACAACACTGACACCTTCCTCCTCAACACCCTACATGACCTCCCAAACAACTCTGACACCTTCCTCCTCAACATTCTACATGACCAACCAAACAACACTGACCCCTCCTCAACATTCTACATGACCAACCAAACAACACTGACACCTCCCTCCTCAACATTCTACATGACCAACCAAACAACACTGACACCTCCCTCCTCAACAACCTACATGACCTCACAAAAAAA